TTATCATAGAATATCAGGATTTTTCCTCCTTTAGGGGCTGTCCCCCTCCTGTTTAGGGGGGGGGGGCCAAGGAACCTCCCCCGAAAATTTTGTTGAAAGTAACACCTCTTCGATGCAATTTCCTGCACTTTGAGGCAGCACTATACAATCTTCATCACAATAACATCCCTATTGAGTTGAGTATTTTTACCTTTGGAGACACCAAAGACTAAAATGCTTACTACCAAATCTGTGCTATACATGTACATGTTCTCACTGGGGTTGCCAGTGCAGACTTACCTAGGCTAAAATACCTTTACCCTGAAAATTCTAGGGGGGGCGACCGCCCCCTGTGCTACCGACCCCCCGTTGACAACTACAGCACTGGAATCATCTCCCCCTGAAATTTTGATAAAACGTATATTTTACTGCGAAGTGAGAACCTTAAAACTGCAAAAGAATATGCGAAAAACAACCAGATTTGAACCAAATAGTGCATATTTTCACCCCTTATACAAAATCGGGAATATACTTCCTGTCGGGTCTCAGCACCCCCATCCCCCCTCCCAAAAAGTGAGATGAAATTGAATTTTCCCATTCAACTCCCCTGAAAATTCAATATCCCAACTCTCAATAGGTCTATTCTAATTTTGAATAAAGCAAGGATTTAACTTTCGTGAGCAGTGATAAGACGTGATTTGGGGATTTTGAAAAAAAAATCGTATATGCATGGGGAATGCGTCCAAAATTAACCGTCTGAGCTTCAGTAAAATAATGTCATTCTTGGAACGAATTACAGCCATTTTACAGTAGATGTATGTCACGTTCCATTTCTGTAATAATACAATAGGAGAGTATGAATAGCGATGACGGATTTGTAGATAAATATCCAGTATTTATTGTCTGTAAAATATTAAATTTTTCCCCATTTTCTTCCTGAAAGTAGGGGGTGATGAAAGCTACCCCACCTCAATAAGTGTGGGGGGGGGAAATACCCCCATCCCCCCGCTATCTACGCTCCTGTCAGAGGAACTCAAATTTGACTTTTGATATGCATACAAATATTCATAATCATAATCTTTGTTAGCAGTACTCTACAGGCGCCGCGGAACGATTTTTGAAGTGGGGTGCTAAATTTGTTACGCTCGACAGTGCCAATGCAGGATTTCGAGGAAGGTGGTAAGAAACATGCGGGGGTATGCGGGTCCTCCCCCAGAAAATTTTGAATCCCCCATTTTCCTCCTGAAAGTAGGGGGGATGATTGTACACGCCATCCCCCCCACGTCAATAAGTGGGGGGGATGCATAGAGAGAGAGAGAGAGAGAGAGAGAGAGAGAGAGAGAGAGAGAGAGAGAGAGAAAGAGAGAGAGAGAGAGAGAGAGCTTAGATGTTCACGATGCGTACAATATCGCGCCACGCAGCGGGTAGCTAATGTGATTGCCATCCCAACTCTCATGTCATTAATGCTAATTGTGGTCACGTGACGCTGGTCTGTCTGTCGGGCGCCGACGGATACGTAGCGGGGAAATGTGACCGTAATACACAGAAACGCATCTGGCAGTCAGGCCGTCTCCATGGCAACGGTTGTGATATATTACTGATGAGATGACAATTACTATTATTTATATTTTCCGAGGACGAAAGAATTCCTGCGACGGTGAACGCCTGAAACTTTATTAGTGAAGGACGAATTTTATCGTTAGAGTTATATTTGAAAAATCCTGTTGAAATAATTTAACGGTGCGACATTTAATGAAAATAATCCATTAATGTAATGACCCATGGTTGGGTTTATCAGCTGTGTGCGTTCATGACAATTGACGCGTGAGCGTGACAACTAGCAATGCAGTATGTCTCTATGGGTCACCAATAAATTTCATTTTGCCAGGGACCATCATGTGATCCTATTGCAAAAACCAATAACCCAAAATATAACTGTCTGACTGTAGTTATAACCATAAGGATAACTATGAGTCTAACTCTTTAGCATAAGTATAACTATAACCATAAACATAATTATCAGTCCAATCCTAACCTTACTCCTAAAACGAGCCCTCACCGTTACATCAACCGTAACCCTAACCCTAACGCATGTGTACACATACATATATACGATTTGTATATATATATATATATAATTATCAAACGTAATCCAATTATGATATATATATATATATATTTATACATATATATATATATATATATTTTGATTACGTTTGATAATTTCTCGCGGGATATCACGAGAAAAAACATCGTTCACCATGGTAATGCCGCCGCGCCGCCATGTTGTTTTCAGCGTCAAGGACGTCGACGATCCTCCGACGAATCGCGTCATCGTGACGCACACAGGTCAGGTCAGATACCTGACGTACGCGATCTATGAGAGCTCGTGTAACCTCGACGTGCGCTACTTCCCGTTCGATGCCCAGCGCTGCGAGTTGCTCTTCACCTCCTGGTCACTGACGGTCAGTTATCTGGACCTGCAGCCCGAGCCGGACACGGCGGCCGGCGTCGGCTACTTCGTCGCGCACGAGCAGTGGCAGCTGGTCGCCTTCGAAGTACGACGCGAGGAGCATTCGTACGTCCGCCTCACGCACGCACGCACGCATGCACGAGTACGCACACACGCACGCACGATTACGCACGCACGCACGCACATATATAAAAGAAATTAATGCTGTAAATAAATAAATAAATATTTATTTATTTATTTATTTATTTGTTTAATTGTTAATTAATTAATTAAGTAATTTATTTATTCAATATGTATATATAAGTAAAAAATTAATAGAAGGATTTGGTTAACTGATTGATAGGCCTAACTAAATGTATATGTTTAACTAATCTAGTTTATTTTTACTTTGTCTTTACTGATGACACGGCCGTTGTTTACCACTCCTTCCCTCGCTACTTCATTAATTTATCTGCCTATCTAGTGCTATCGTTATCTGATCTTCTCTCTATATATATATATCTATATATAATATATATATCTATATATTATATATATTATATATATATATATAGTCTATATATATATATATATATATCTATATATATAAATATATATCCATAAATCTATCTCTATACATACTTATATATCTGTTTAGCATGCTTCACGTATATCTTGATTTTTGAACTTCGGCTCCTTATAGGAAATTCTATTCATTTCCTGCCAATATTAATAGATAAAACTAATCAAACTCGGAGGTGTTTTGATGCCATTGATGTTTAATCAAGCATCGTTTAATCACGCCACCTGCCGGTCATATTATCACTAATCCACGCGATGAGTTATGACCATTGATATGGTAGAGTATAATTACAAGGGAGGTAGTACAAGAGTATGTATTCCCTTTTTACATTTTGTACATGTAGTACCTACTAGTAAGTACAAGAGAGCATGCGTGTTCTTATGATGGTGTTATCTATAGTTTGACCGCCCCTCCCCCGTCAAATCTCAATTTTTCAAATTGGAATTACAATATTTTTATATGTTCGCAGATACGTCTGCTGCCAGCGTCCCTTCGCCGAGCTGTACTACACGCTGCGTCTGCGCCGTAAGCCTCTCTTCTACCTCTTCAACATAGTTGCACCGAGCAGCGTCATCGTCGTCATCGCCACTGTCGGCTTCTTCACGCCGTCGACGAACGAGGGTGAGCGGAAAGAGAAAGTCAGCATCGGCATCGTCACGTCTCTGTCGATGACAATGCTGCTGGTGGCGATGTCAGAGACGCTGCCGCCGACGTCACGGGTCGTGCCCCTGCTCGGTGAGTCGCGGGTAAAACAAGTGGCCTCTTCGCCGAGGATTAACATTTCTTTTCTTAAAATGTTTTTTTCTTTTTTCCCTTTTTTGTAATCTTGTATATATTTTCTTGTAATTTTTATTTTGTTATAAGTGTTTCCGTGAATTATTACTCTCTATTATTATGATTTTTTTTCATCGGTGATTTTTCTTAGTTATATTAGTGCGTTTATTTCATTGCGAGTGGAGCGCGTCTACTCAGGCATTCAAGTGTTTGTCTCGAACGCGACAATCGATAGATTCGTTTCCGACTTCGATCGACGACACATTAGAACGAGATGTGCCGTAGTTCTGCCGGAAGTTCCGTTAACATTCGTGACATTTCTACGCACTGAAATGCACGATAGTTGTTTTATCATTCGATCGCTAAACGGCGCTTGCGGCGGCACCAGTTCCCGCATCCGATTGGTGCGTTTGCTCTAGAGTCTAGCTGGTAAACTAACATCAGAAACTAAACTGAACGTGCTAGAAAGAGCCGATGGTGATGTATAAACCGACATATGATCGATTCCTACGTCCTCGCGCCTTTAGATGTTCCATGAAGCTGACTCCGGCCGAGTTCAAACGCTCTTACAATATAGCAGTATATAGTATTAGCAATATGATAATATATAATCTATGTATATTATATATATTATATATTACATACACACATATATATATATATATATATATATATATATATAGTAATATGTAAAACATAGTGTTTAGTGTTGATTGTGTATATAATTATGATTCCACCCACTCCCGCAGTCGCATATTTCGGACTACTCATCCTGCTGACCAGTGTCGCTACACTCGTCACCGTGCTAGTTATGGGCATCGACGCCAGGTGCTACCGTCGGCACCCATTCCCGCGATGCCTGCGCCCTCTGCTGTCGCTACTCGCCGCCGTCACGTTCGTCGACGTGTCGCACGCCGACGGCGACCACGCGGACAACGCCGACAAGGTAACATCGCCGGTAGGAGGCAGCACGGGCGCGAAAGTCGGGGATGTGAGAAGGCGACAGAAGCAGGGCCGAGGGTGAAGAGTGGGGAAGGGCGACAGGGAGCGGGGTGGGAGTGGGTGACAGGGAGCGGGGGCGTGGTGGAGGGTGTGGGAGGGGGCACAGCCCGAGGCGGGGGTGGAGGGTGGGGGAGGGGGCACAGCGCGAGGCGGGGGTGAAGTAATTCATGCATTATTGCGTTAGTTGATCTATACGTTATCGCTGCTGGACGACGCTGGTGGCGCCACGTGCAACACTGCCGGCTGGCCGTACATAATCAATCACCTAATGCTACACAGACCACGCACGCACGTACGCACACACAGACGCGCGCACGCACGTACATACCACACTCTTACGTACACGAACACACACGCGCACACACGCACGCGCGCACACACAGACGCGCGCACGCACGTATATACAACACTCTAACGCACACGAACACACACACGCACACACGCACGCGCGCACACACGCGCGCCCAGGACAGATATCAGCGCAAATTCCATAAACAGAGCTGTTGTCGTTAGGGGTGCCGATTGTTTGCTAAGGAAATTATCGCCTTCCGTTATTAACCACCAGTCTAATATTGACTGATATTATATTGATTGACTGATATAGATATATGATGCGGGTGTTGCTGCACTAATAGGTAATAATATTAGATTGCTGCATGTACTGTGGGCGCACGCACACGTCAACATATGTGAGTCACGGGTATAGCCATCAACGGTGCGTCCTATGTTACGTGTTTTAGATCATTCTACGATGGAAGTATAGGTACTATCAGAGGTTAATAATGACAAATCAATGTAATTAATGTAATGTAATTATTAACCCCTGGTATTATGCAGAAATTTCTGTGTTATCTCATCATAATATAACCGACGCTAGCGTTCTACAGACGTGCTATTGTTTCAGGGCCGTCAGAGTACACCGGGGTCGCAGGGCCGACGACGCAGTACGTTCCCGCGCGTCGCCGAATCGCAACTGGACGACGATGACGGTGGCGGCGACGACGACGATAACGATGACGTCACGATGATGGAACGCGAACGTCGCTCCGAGTCGTCGCGCAGTAGTTCCGATTTCGACCGCCAGGCGGTGCGCACGATAGCCGAGGCGGCAGCGCTCCTAGCGGACACACTGCGCGACGCGTCGACGCAGGTCGGTGCCGACGGCCGACGCGTATTTAACAACGAGTGGCACCTGCTGGCGAAGTGCGTCGATCGTATGCTGTTGCTGGGATTCCTCACGGGTACGGCAATAGCTAGCACTGCGCTGTTCTGTAGCTCCCCCTATATCCTACAATGACACGGCGCCCGCACACACAGGGGGTGGGGAGTGGGAGTGGGTTATGTGTACATGTACGTAGATAGAGAGAGGGCAGGAAGGGTAAGAGCAGAGAGATAGAGAGAGAGAGAGAGAGAGAGAGAGAGAGAGAGAGAGAGAAAGATAACGAGATAGGCAGAGAGAGATACTGAGAGAGAGCGAGAGAGAGCGAGAGAGTGTGTGTGTGTCTGTGTGCGTGCGCGTGTGCGCGTGTGTGCGTGTGCGTGTGTGTGTGCGTCTGCGTCTGCGTCTGCGTGCGCGTGTGTGCGCGCGAGTGTGTTTGTGCGTGTGCGTGTGTGTGTGCGAGAGAGAGAGAGAGAGAGAGAGAGAGAGAGAGAGAAAGAAAGAAAGAGAGATGAAAGGGAAAGAAGAATATAGTCATAATTATTATGGTATACGTTCTTTCTGTATTCGAGAATTCGTGATTGCATATATTATTCATAAATAAAATGTCAATTTTCTTTAACATTCCGTCTCGAAATTTGTGTCATTTACTCTGAGTCTGTGATTTCACACGCACACGTACACACGCACGCACGTACACACGCACGCACGTACACACGCACACACGAGCACACACACGAGCAAGTACGCACATACGCACGCACGTACACACGCACGCACCTACACACGTACACACGAGCACACACACGAGCAAGTACGCACGCACGCACGCACGCACGCACGCACGCACGCACGCACGCACGCGCGCGCGCACACACACGCGCGCGCACACACACACGCACACACACACACGCACACACACACACACACAAACTCACACACATACGCACCCACACGCACGATCGCCACACACTCACGCAGCCGCACACGCACACGCACGCACACGCACACGCACGCACACGCACGCACGCGGCTTGATGAACTTATTGCTAATGTTCGTCGACATTCGATATTAAACGACGGCTGGATCGTCGGCGACATTATATGATGTCATTACGGTAATGGACGACGCAGCGGGGCAGGCGCGGCATGCATGCATGCAGGTACGGTCCGCCTGTCTCACCGCTAGGGAAATCACTGTCACCAATCATGCACACCTGCTGATTACTAGCGGTAACCAGCTCGTTAACGGGAATTGTCTGCTGCGATGAAATGCTGCGAGGCACTGCATGGGGGCAATATATATGCTAACGTGGCGAATGTTATAGTGTCTGCGGCTTGTGTGCGTATGCCCGTGATGTATTGTCATGGGGTGGGTACTCTGATACGTGTTCAAGCGTAGACTCACAGTCGTGTGGCATAGTTCCAGTTTTATTCGCATATCTTGTCTTAGAAAGAATGTCCAACTCCCCGTGCCTCCGCCCGTGTACTAGCACATATATCGTGCCCATATTTTCGCGATTTCTCAACTGGCTGTAGCTCAAAACCGAACGTCTATACATAAAACCACCACATCACTACCATATATTTAATTTATTTTCTATGCAAGAATGGGGCACGCGGCTATAATGAAGGCAGATTTGCGTACGCGCATTTTATTGTCACATAGAATCGCACACAACGCTCCTGTCTTGTGCCTCCTCGTCTGCGTCCTGTGCTTGCTCTCAAAGCGAGATGGAGAGGCGGAATTGCGGATCCGCATTTCTATGTCAAGGTGTTTTGATGTTGCGACTGTCGCAGAGATGGTAGCGTTAATAGCTGTTGTTGAACACTCGGAAATTGTTGCGCTAGAACGCATAAAGCACGGGGGGCGGTGATAAACTGAGGTAGCGCGTTGTTGTGAGTCCCCTTTCCACAGATCCTGCAAGCTTCAATAATAGTGTGTGTGTGTTGTGTGTGTGTGTGTGTGTGTGTGTGTGTGCATACGTGCGTGCTGTGCCGTGTGTGTGGGCCGTGCGTGCGTGTGTGTGTGTGTGTGTGTGGGTGGGTGTGTGTGTTGTGTGTGTGTGTGTGCGCGTGTGTGTGTGTGTGCGTGGCGTGCGAGTGTGTGTGTGCATGCGTGTGTGTGTGTGTGTGTGTGTGTGTGTGTGTGTGTGTGTGTGTTGTGTGTGTGTGTGCATGTGTGTGTGTGTGTGTGTGTGGTGTGCGTGTGTGCGTGTGCGTGTGCGTGCGTGTGCGTGTGTTGTGTGTGTGTGTGTGTGTGTGTGTGTGTGTTGTGTGTGTGTCTTTGTCATCACACCATTAGAGTGATCGTAACTCCTGCCTCGGCCCTTTATTACGCGTATTGCGCCTAGGCGATACATACAATATACCTCCATGATACACGACCGCAATATGCGCTCTCCTCCATTCGCCTCTCGCTCGCGCTCGTCTCTCGCTCTCTCTCTCTCTGCTCGCTCTCTCTCTCTCGGTCTCCGTCTCTCTTCTCTCTCTCTCTCTCTCTCTCTCCCATGCCGCCTCTCGCTCTTCTTTCTCTCGTCTCTCTCTCTCTCTCCTCTCTCTCTTCTCCTCTCTCTGTTTCGTGTTCTCTCTCACTCCTTTTTTTCCTGTTTCTTTCTTCTTTCGTCTGTCGCTCCCACCCTCCCGCTACTCTAACTGGCACTCTGCCAGCCTCTCTCGCTCTTTCTCGTGTCCTCTTTTATTCAACTCTCTCCGTCTCTTCTATTCTTCTCTTCTCTCTCCTTTTTTCTTCCTACCGTCCTGCTCTCTCCATAGTAATGGCAACCATATTCAGAGTCTATCAACAAGCGTCTAACTTTCCTCTGTAACGTCGCTATGTGAGCTTCCTGTGTTTGAACATCACTAAATGCAAAACATTCATTCATATATCAATGCTGCCCGACAGAGAGAAAAGAGAGAGAGAGAGAGAGAGAGAGAAGAGAGAGAGTGTGCTGTGTGTGTATACGCAGCGCGCACATAGAAATGTCTCATTCGCATCATCTTATAACATATGCGCACGTGTAACGTACACACCAAGGGACAGCCATTTCGCGTGTCATATGCCTTCGTGTGCTTTAAGTGCTGTCGCCAAACCTTAACCGCCGCCGTCAATGTCACAACGATGCTGTAAAATGTAGATCGATTCCGACTATAAATCGAATTTTCACAGAATGAAGACTTAATCGCTTTAGTGGCGAAATTTATGTTTAGGAAAATGCCGCAACTGGGGGAAATCCATGCCGTTTGGTGTAGGCGGCGTCGTGTGTGTGTGTGTGTGTGGTGTGTGTGCGTGCGTGCGTGCGTGCGTGCGTGCGCTGCGTGCCGGGGCGGTGCGTGCGCGCTGTGTGTGTGTGGTGGTGGTGAGTGTGTGTGTGCGTGTGTGTGTGTGTGTGTGTGTGTGTGTTGTGTGTGCGTGGTGTGTGCTGTGTGTGGTGTGCGTGCGTGTGTGTGTCCGTGGTGTGTGTGTGTGCGCTGCTTGCGTGCGGCGTGCGTGCGTAGTTGTGCGGCTGGCGCGTGGGCTAGAGGGGCTAAACAGTCGCGGGGTCCCGTCTCCAATGCACCGCCAGCATGGTACGATCGCGAGTCGCTAGATCGATGTCACCGTTACGGGTTGTGATGTAATCACCAACGCGCGCGCACACGAGACACACACACACACACCACAACACACACACACACACACACACACACACACACACACACAGCACACACACACACGTTACAGGAAGCGCGCGCCGCTGTTGACAGACATGGAATGATTCCCCGTCCAGTGTAGCAATCATTTACGGCGGTGTTTTCTACTACTGCCGGCCCGCCCCCGGCCATCGATGTCCTTGTTCTCTATTACACACATACACGACGTG